AGAGAGAGAGAGAGAGAGAGAGAGAGAGAGAGAGAGAGAGAGAGAGAATGAACGAACTGGGGTAGGAGACAGTCCTTTTATGCGATGCCACCGCACTTGGCAGCAGAGGGGACTTGGCAGCAGAGGGGATGGTGGCTGCATGACTTAAACTATCGCTAGGTCCCTGGAAGGAGTCTAGAGGACTCTCAGTATCCTAACACTAACAAGGGCATGAAGGGCTTCCTTTGCCTCACAATTTGAGGGTACAATGTGTTTTATATATGTGGGAAATGATAATGTTAGCTGTATGGAACAGCTAGTCATACCGCACCTGCAGACAAGAAGCAGAGAAAGAGTCTTATTATTCGGCTTGCTTTCTCTCTTTTTAATTTGTTTTGAGCTCCTAGTCCAGAGGATGGTACCACTCACATTCAGTTAAGCCACTATCTTCAGTTAAATCTTTCCAGAAACACATCATGGGCATACCCAGGGGTGTTTGCTTGGTGATTCTTTTTTTTTGCTTTGGTTTTTTTTTTGTTTTGTTTTGTTTTGTTTGTTTTTCGAGACAGGGCTTCTCTGTGTAGCCCTGGCTGTCCTGGAACTCACTCTGTAGACCAGGCTGGCCTCGAACTCAGAAATCTGCCTGCCTCTGCCTCCCAAGTGCTGGGATTAAAGGCATGCACCACCACTGCCCGGCTGCTTGGTGATTCGAAAACCAATCAACTCAAAGGAAAAAAAAAAGGTAATAATCATGAGTATGTATTAAAAATTATTACAAAAATTTTGTGATGTTTGGTGTGTCCTTCAGAGTGACGTAATAGAAGAGAAAGGAAGTAGGTATCAACCTAAAATTGACAGCCATGCTCTGGTCTTTTTTTTTTTAAACTTATTTATTGTATGTAAGTACACTGTAGCTGTCTTCAGACACCCATATAAGGGCATCAGATCTCATTACAGGTGTTGTGAGCCACAAGTGTGGTTGCTGGGATTTGAACTCATGACCTCTGGAAGAGCAGTCAGTGTTCTTAACCCCTGAGCCATCTCACCAGCCCATGTTGACCATTCTTGAATTTAAGTTAGGAATGTGGAGAGCTTCATTCCATTAGCTTCTCCACTCTGAGAACTGTTTGAATATTTCTATACTCAAAAGATTAAAAGGTAATGATCTCTCTGTTCTTTCCCTTCCAAAAATAAATGTTGAGGATAAGTCCTGTCAGCTCTTCTACAGAAGGGGAATTGGAGTGGTACTTGAAGTCAGGATACAAGAAGGTTTCAGAAGTGTGAGTCAGTGGTAGCACGTAACAGCAGGGAAAGCCATCTGGGGCTTGGTTTGATGATCAAAAAAATTAAAAACCCAACAGGAGGTGGTGGCACATGCCTTTAATCCCAGCACTCAGGAGGCAGAGGCAAGCAGATCTCTGAGTTCAAGACCAGCCTGGTCTACAGAGTAAGTTCTAGGACAGCCTGGGCTATACAGAGAAACCCTACTGGGGGTTGGCAGCGAAAAAAGAAAAGGAGAGGAAGGGAAAGAAAAGAAAGAGTAAAAACCAAGAGGTTGTGTAGGGTCTAAGAGCTCAAAAGCATCAAGGGCTGCCCCATTAGTCCTTTGGACTTCTTTGAGAGAGTGTTTAATTAATCATGAGTTCTGTACCACGAAATAGTAAAAGGCCACTTTATTCATATAACAAGCTCAACGTACTGCTAGTTGAAGTAGGCATGTGAAAAGAGCAACAGAGAAATCCTGGTTCTTATGAAGGCCCCAAACCCTATTTGGAAGTCAGTATCGGTATCATGAAATTAATATGTGTACATATTATGCACAAGACATGGGAAACAGAGCTTCCATTAGCCTATGGTCAGCCAAAACAGGTTTTACAGAAGAAACAGCTGAGGGGTTAACGTTTTAAGACGAACGTAGTGTTTGCCAGAACAAGAAGCAGAAGGAAGAAGTCATTTCAGGAAGAAGGAAAGAAATGTGTCTAACAGAAAGAAGCCACAGTGATGTGTTCTGGGAACTCTGAGTATTTGTATTGTGGAGGCACAGTGCACGGTTTCTCAGGATTGTTCCTCAGCCGAAACACACCATCTTATTCTGGGTCTACAACAGGGGAAAGGCCTTAACCTGGAAATCCTATTGGCCTTTAAAAAGTGCTTGACTGAGGCTGGGGGGATGGGTCAGTGGTTAAGAACCTAGGATCGATTCTAAGCACCCACATGGTGGCTTGCAATAGTCTATAACTCCAGTTTCAGGGATATTCAAGGGGCACCAACCATACATGGTACACAAACATATATGCAGGCAAAGCACTCACATACATAGAATAAAAAAATAAATTTTTTAGTAATGGGAGTGGGAGAGGAGGTTTAACTTCAAAGCTACTCCTAGCTGGAACTCGGGCTGTGTCTCATACCACAGATGCAATCCAAAAGACAAAGAGAACCATGTCCAGAAACCTAAAACCTATGGTCTGGGCAGCAAGAACCTACTTCCTATAATTATAGACCCTTGTACAAAGAAGGAAGACCAGTGAATCAATCAGAAAGCAAAGCCCTAAACTTCATTTCCAGCTCCTTAGTGGTTTGTTTGGTGGAAATAAATGACGAATGAACTATGATTTCACGAGTCACACAGTTTATTGCCACACAAAGGGAACTTTTGCCTTTTGCTCACACTGATTAAAGAGGGGGAACAACATGAACAAACCTCACAGGGAACATGGTTCGTAGATGTGGCACAACCTCACAGTGAGTAAATTTTGAAATCATGAGTTCAGTTGTTCCACTGGGATAGAAGCAGGCCTCTGCTGAAAGTCCAGTATAATTAAAGACTTGGTGTACCTTTATATAAGTGGTTCTCAGGAGAAACTGGTTTGACCAATACAGTAGAGATCTGTGAGGTGACCTGAGGCCCCGCAGATATAGAGGATAATGTAAGTCAGGCTTAGGGATGAGTTGAAGATAGGTCACAGCATATGCCTGTGTGTGCATGTCTTCAGAATAGTGCCTGGCAATGCATAGCTAAGCTATACGCTCTTAAGTGTCTAGTTCTTAGGTTTAAATAGATTTTGATATTCGGTAGCTCATATATAAAAGGTATTTTAAATGTATTTCCATATTTGGTAACTCATGTGTGTAATGTCTCCTCAGCGTTAAGGAGAGATCTCCTATGTTTACTGGGGTCTAGTAAGACTTCACATTCTTCAAAAGAAACACCTTTCAAGTTCTCGGGGGATGATCTACCAGAGCATCTCAAACCTCAGCTCTACCCAAGTTTCTATACATGCTTTGAACTATGTTTAGTGTGTTCAGGGTCTTTAATGGTACGCAGAAAGTATCCACCCACAGTGTTATACTAGGACAACCTATCAGCCAGCATTTATTTCCAAACAAGTTCCCCCCACCTTTTTTTCTTTTGATTAATGTAGCACCTGTGTCTTCGTCCAGAGGCCTACACGTTACACATTAAGGAAAAGGGTTGAAGCGAACCATTGAGAAAAGAGCAACAAAGAATCAAATCTATTACAAAGTTGGTAACAAAAGGCATCCGGACAACTTGACTTTCTTGTTTATGTTTTTTTTTAAGTGGTTTAAGCAGCCAGGGCTTTGCCGCGTGCCTTATACAGCCAACTCCACCCTCTGAGAGATTTTACACAACCGCAGTCCCACGCTTGCCAGCCTGGAGCGCACAAACTTCCCCAGACTTGGGGACTCTGGCAGTGAGGTTGCACAACGCACAGCAACATCTGCAAGCTCCTGCTCCGCCGCCCACAGCCCTGCAGCACAGACCCTCGCGCCTGCGCACTCCTCACGCCCGCGGGCAGGGCCCCACCCCTTCCATCGCCACGCCCAGCCACGCCCCTCCAGGTGCGCGTGCGCCGCGGGCCCGCCCCCGCCGCTCTCGGCGGTCTCTCGCGAGCCGCGGCCGCGTCCTCAGAGCTATTGGCCGGCCTGGAGCGAGCGGCCTCTCTTTGCCTCGCGCTCTTCTTCCTCAGCAGCCCGGCCGTGCGGCTATGGCGGCGCAGCGGCGGCGGCCCGCGGCTGGCGTGGGAGCCCGGGACGCGCTCGCGGTGCTGGCGCTGGCCTTGTGTGCTCCCGGGGTGGGCGGCGGGGCGCTCGAGTGGTACTCGGCCATGGTGAGCATCGAGTTCGTAGACCCGGAGTCGAACCTGACGGTGTGGATCAAGTCCGAGAGCGGCCGCTTCGGCGACAGCTCGCTCAGGGAGAAGAGGCAGGGCCTGGTGGGCGTCCCGCGCGCGCCCGCGGACGCGGAGGGCTGCGCGCCCGACACGCGCTTCGTGGCGCCCGGCGCCCTCGGCAACGCGCCCTGGGTGGCGCTGGTGGCGCGAGGCGGCTGCACCTTCAAGGACAAGGTGCTGGCGGCGGCGCGGAGGAACGCCTCGGCCGTGGTGGTCTACAACCAGGAGCGCTACGGAAACGCCACCGAGCCCATGTCGCACCCGGGTGAGCAGGCCGGGCTCTGCGCCGCCGTCCACGGCTGGGGCGAGCCTGGTGGTTTCCCGGGTGGTGTGGAGAGGGAAGTGCGGGCACACGCTGGATCGGAGCTTCACCTCGGGAGGGTGCGAAGGCAGGGAAGGGCCCTCGGTCGGGAACTAGCAAAATCACCGGAGGAAGGTCTTACCGAGTGCAGTAAGTCTCCAGATTCCCGATCACGGGTCGCTTTTAATAAGGTCTGCTCGCTGTCTCCCAAAGTTGGTTGAGTGGGGAGTTGTGTAGGAGTGGACGGCTAGAGCACGCCAGACTCGCATTGTCTCTTCACCAACCTAAAGTGATGGCTTCGTGGATCCTCATTTTGGTTTCTTTCTCTTGACGAAGGTATCTGAGTGTTTTCAAAACCCCAGAAAACCTGGGTTTTCTTGCTAGTTTCTCTCAACGACGCATGTAGGGTGATCGCACTGGCACATTGTTTGGGCAGTTCTACATTCAGATGAAATCTTTTTACTGTTTTCATTGAAGAAAAGAAAGGCCTTGCTACCTCTGTCAGAAGGCTGCTCCTAAACAAGATATTCCAGGGACAAACAGGGATGAGTTGGCAAAATGTCATCGTTGGGACACAGCTCTCTTCGGGGACCCAGAATTTGATTGTGCCTTCAAAGATCACATTAGCTTTAAGGCGTCACACGGTTGACTCATTCTGAATTTCCTGTGATTACGGTTTTTGTTAAGTTTCTGCTGCTAGCTAAGACATCCTTTTTCCTGGCCTGCATTTTTGTTCTCGTTCTGTTTTGGTGTACATGCAACACAGAGTTTATTATAAAGACAGAAAAGGGACATTGGATGTGACCATTTTTATACACGGTTGTGAATGATGGCCATTTGATGGCAAGGAAGTGAGCTATGCTTTACAGATCAACTCTTTTTTTTCCAAGGTTGACTCCAGATTAGGAGAGAAATGGGTATAAATTGCAGAAGCATAGGGGGGTGGAGTAGGAGAAGGTAAGGGATATTTGACATGGTGTGGAAGTCATCTGCTAGAATGGAGAATTGCCCAGAGAAGTTGGGTGTCTTTGAGAACACAAGAGTTGGTTGGCCGCGGACAACAGTGGTGGGTGAGAATAGACCGGTGTCCCCAGGGTGGTGTTGAGTCAGGCAGTTAGTCTAGTGATTGCACATCAACCTAATTGTCAGTGTCCACACACCCTCTTTCCATACGGCTCCTGAGAGATCCTAGCATTCCAGATATATGTTCCCAAGTTCAGTTCTGTCAGGGAAGAGAGGCTAGGGTGCTGCAGCTGACTCCTCGGTATTGGGTGTGCCTATGTGTGGATGCACACACATCTAATGTAGACAGTTTTCTTTTCAGTGACAGCCTCATCACCCTACAATTTTCAAACTCTACCCTTCTGCATTTTTTGATAATGACCTTGACATCCTCCCAAGCAGACACCTCTTGTTCTAAATTTGGCTCAGCAATCTTTCTTGCTTATATTGTTGACACACAATTTATCTGGGCCCAGGAAAACACCTCAATCATGTTAATTAGAATCTTCTGTGGAGGGACATGTCTTTCCCCATTACCTGCCTTCTTTCTAGCCTTAGCATGATAATAATTCTGTGTTGTTGTTTTTCTTTTTTTTGTTTTGTTTTGTTTTTTTTTCGAGACAGGGTTTCTCTGTGTAGTTCTGGCTGTCCTGGAACTCACTCTGTAGACCAGGCTGGCCTCAAACTCATAAATCCGCCTGCCTCTGCCTCCCAAGTGCTGGGATTAAAGGTGTGCGCCACCACTGCCTGGCTGTTTTTTTAAGAGAGGATTATCACCTTTTGGAAAATGTGTAAAAGTACCCTTGCAAGTGACTGAATCTTCCTGAGGGCCCTTTAAGTTACATCCCTAAGGAAACATACTCAAAAGCATTTTAAAACTTGGTCAAGGTCACTTGGTGACCTATAGGATGTTTAGCTATATTCCTGTCTTCCCACATTCTAGAAGTTTTCCCCATAGTTTTGACAACCAGAAATGCCTTGAAATTTTGCCAGAACCTCAGGAAGCAACAAAATTATCTGGCATTTTGAACCACTGACCAAAAGAAAATCAATTTGGTAGCAGTATGATCGATAAACAGGAAAAGCTGGAAATAAAGTTAGACCCTTGGTCTTCAGTTGTAGACACTGTAGAGATGGAAAAGTTAGCTCTCATTAGTCCATTTGGGTACCAGGTATTGGTAATATGATACTTTGAGAAGAATTAAGATGGGAGAAGCCAGCTTTTCAGACTTTATTTAAATTTGGCTGAAGGTTTTTTGTTTTTTTGTTTTTGTTTTTGTTTTTGTTTTTAGAGCCACTGAGGCTGTTTAGACTTAAGTTAGTTTCCTCTGTATGTATGTTTCCTCAGAATGTAGCTAGAGCCAGGAAAACCCACTGATTGAGCTGTTCTTAATGCTGATGTGTAACACTGGATTTCTATGAAAAAGGTAGATGTTTGCTTCTGAAGTTGAATACTGATAACCTTCCCAAGTTGTGGGGAGTTTTCCAGTTCTTCTGAAACTCATTGCTTCTCTCACTGGAATCTAGCACTAGATAGCTTTTACATTTTAAGTCATTATTGAAGTTGAGGGTTTTAAAGAATCAACATTTTAAGATCACACTCTCAGAACAGCAGTAGGACTTGCAGTTATACCTTACATTCTAGCTTTAGCAGACCTAGGTTTAACAGCCCCTTTGGGCCAAGCATTGTACCTGCTTGTTGGAAATACCTAAGACAAGTGTCTGCCTGTCATGGGTTTATGGTCTGTCAGTAGTGATAAACATAACTTCACAGGACAGAAAAGTTTATACTGAGCTGAATTATAAGCACTGGTGCTTAGAATGCCTATCAAGTGACTGGGTGTTGGTGACCAAGGTAAGTTGTAGAAATTATCTTGACCAAGATAGGTGAAAGAAGATAAAAGCCAAGTCATTAAAGTCTTAGAGTTGGCCTTACTGTAGTTCTTGTAGGTTAATAAATAACGCGCTCCTCCAGCTTAAATTTTGCCATGACTTTTTAGGTATGACATTTTACATCCTTGAATCTTATTTACTAAGTGCTAAACAATTGACAGAGGGGTGGAGAAAGGGCTTGAATTGCAGTAAGTAAGGGCGTGTAGAAGAATACCCAGCTTAGCCAGCCTCTTAATCTGCTTACCCTAGTGGTCCTGCAGACATTTACCATTGCCACATTTCAAACCTTAAAGACTACTCAAGTCTTTTTAAGACCACTGAAAATGGCCACGATAGTGCAATGATGGGAAGCATAAGACTTTTAATTAAAATTTCACTGTGACTAGTTCCAAGAATGTAGTTTTGGAAAAAAGAAAAAGAAGCAACCAACTTTAGAGAAGCCGTATATTAAAAGATATTCATTTTGTACCAGCAGTGCATATTAAATGGTCTTTTATGCATAGGCAATCAATTATTGATTATGCATAATACTATACTCTCAAACGATCTACAACTTCACATTTCAATTTAAAAATGTATCTTGGTACCATAAGGAGCCAGAAGTGGTACCCTAACAGCCTTATAGAAGATGGGGCCAGCTAAGACAACTGCCAAAAAGATGTTGACTGACAGGTTCAGTATATTAGGAAGTTATGTGTATGTGTGGTAGGTGGGCTTAGGACTTATATGTAGCAGAAGTAGTGTTGCAAAAGGTTAAAAGGTCTAAAATGAACTCACATAGAAAAGCTGCAAAAGAGTTCTCTGAGTAAGAGTGTTCTGTACTATTTACAAGAAATCCATTTTGCTGGAGGAGGTAGAGGTAAAGGGTTGTTTTGTGTTTTTATGTTTATTTGTGATAGTGTCTCAATAAATAGCTCATGCTGGATCTTAACTCTTAGTCTCTGTATTAATTTATTATTTTATGTGTATGTGTATTTTGTCTATATGTAAGTGCATGGCTGATGCCTGTGAAGTCTAGATGAGGGCACTTGGAATTAGAGTTATGCCCTGGGAATCACCAGGCCTTCTGCTGAAGAGCAAGTGTTCTTAGCCACAGAGCCATTTCTGCAAGTCCCTAAATTTCCCCCAACCCTAAATTTTTTTTTTTGGTTTTGGTTTTTCGAGACAGGGTTTCTCTGTGTAGCCCTGGCTGTCCTGTAACTCACTCTGTAGACCAGGCTGGCCTCGAACTCAGAAACCCGCCTGCCTCTGCCTCCTAAGTGCTGGGATCAAAGGCGTGCGCCACCACTGCCTGGCAACCCTAAATTTTTTATGAAACAAAATTAAACAATATTTATAATTATATAGTGTCCCATTGTGAATTTTGTCCTCCTCATTCACCCTAGCCCAACCATCCAAAAATTTCCATTTTGTATAACAAGACACTTACATTCCAGATTATTTCCTCCACCGCAACGCAACCCCTCTTACTAGGTCATTTCAGTTGTGGTCCTGGAAGATAAGCCAGCTTTTCAAGTACATTCATTCATAAAGAAACCTTCCATGGGCCATCCCTGCTGAATGCCTCAAAAACCTGATAAATTGAACAGGTAGTACTTGTCTAGTGAGGAGAGACCTGTAAACAAATTAGACAAGGTGTGGAAGGAGGCCTGTCTGATGCTGGGAGACAGCAGAGGCTCCCAGTTCAGTTCCCAGCTCCGTATCTGATGACTCACAGTGCCTGTAATTCCAGCTCCAGGGGATCGGCGCCCTTCCTCTGGTCTTTTTGGGCACCTCACTTGAATGCATGTGTGTATTCAGCACACAATTTAAAAAGCGGATGACTGTGTACAGGTAGAGCAGGATTCACGGTAGAGTTTCACTGAGTTTGTGCATACCTTGGTTTTGTTGAGGATTCTCCAGGGGGTAGAAGTGGCTAGAATGTGGCAGTGTATTTAAAAAAAGAAAACCTGAACGTTTAGGAGGTTCTTTTACTGGAACCTTAAGATCAATTATTGCTGATAAATTAGTTTTCTCCACCAGAAATTTAACCTACTACTTTAAATATTTCAGTAGTTCTTATCTTCTTC